GAGGAGGAGGAGGAGGAGGAAGAGGAGGATGAGGAGGAGGATGAGGAGGAGGAGGAGAGGAGGAGAATGGGGAGGAAGAGGAGGAGGAGGAGGAGAGGAGGAGGAAGGGGATTTTAAAAGAAAATGATAAGGGAATCAACTGGCAAATATCAATGCATTTGAACATGTTTGAATATATTATCTGCATTCCACAATTCTCATTCTGGGAAAAATACCCAGGAAAGAAGCCAAGAACCTGCAGTGCTCTTGTGTCCCACACGGGCTAGGACACGCGCTGTGTTGCCCGTAAGGCTTGTGTCACACCCATCACACCCACAGTGTGCACCATCCACATGCACTCTGTGACTCTGATTTATCACCAAGAAAGCAACTCAAGGTGTGCACGTGCATCTCTGAGTGTGTGCATGCACATGTGTGTGCAGCACACCTGTCATGCAGTGAGCCAAGGCAGAAACGGATGTCAGGAAGCAGAGGAATTGTTCTCACCTGACCATAGTCTGTCTGGAAGACCACAACGCCCTCTGCACAGGAGTTTACAGTGCTTGGAAAATGCTGGCCATTTTCTCTCAGCCAGACCCGCGTTCCCTGTGAGCAGAAGAAACACAATTTAATCATGACTTTGCATTTTATCTTAAGGCTGAACATCACTCTCAAAATTACTGTGACGCTTCATGGCTGAGTCATTTTGCAAAGCAAATGTCTTTCTCATGCAATGAAGGACTTCTCAGACAGCAGCACACAGACTTTCCTACCCACTGGTGTGACACAGAGCAAGCCGGGCGCGCCAGGCTCTGCGGGCTGCTGCGCCGACCTGAGCAACTCCCGTGGCTCTCACGGGCATCCTACAGGGCAGGCACTACCGTGCCCTCACTTCGTGGAAGCAGGAACAGAGGCCTGCAAGAAAGGTACCTTGCCCACGACAGAGAGAGCACCACCCCAGGCAAGGGGCTCCAGCGCTCGCGAGGCAACCAGGTCACTGGCCATCTCCCCCTCTTTGGGAGTCCTTGGGCCTGGCTGCCCCCATCTTCCCAGGTTAAGCCGCACACACTGGCCCACTCCTGGGGCGCCCTACGTGCACTAAAAGCTATGTGTCCACTGCTCCAGATTCAGTCTGCCAGGATCACACCAAACACCCAACCAGCGTGACACTTGGGACTGTGACCCAAAAAGCTAGGACTTCAACATCCTATTGTATTATCATTGGGTCTGTTTGGGGGCACTGGTTCCATTTTTGTTTTTCAATTTCCAACAGAGAAGTGGCCAGTAACTTAGCAAGAGCCCGGGTAGGTGTTGAATCAAAGAAATCCAGTTCCTAATTCCATGCTTTTTCCATGTATCACGCTAATTCTGTATGTTCCCTCAAAATAATACATGACTGTACCAAATGCATTCATAAATCCAACAATTAAAACAGAGGTCTCTTTCACTGGCCAATTTTCATGTATTAACTATTCACTCCTGCTCATCTTCTTAGCAAAGTTTAACAAGATAGAAAATTTCCACCTAACAGTTCTTTCCTTAGAGTTAATGAGGGCTGTTTAAAAATCTATCAGCCAGGCTGGGAAGATAGCTCAGCGGTCTAAGTGCCTGCCTGCCAAGCCCAAGGTCCTGAGTTCAATCCCTGGTACCACATGCCATGCCAGCCCTGGAGCTCTGGAACCCCAGGTGTGGTGGCACACACCTGTAATCCCAGTGCTGAGACAAAAGGATCACTATGAGTCCAAACTGTGTAGTGAGACCCCTCTAAAAACAAAACAAAACAAAACAAAACAAAACAAAAAAAAAAAAAAACAACCCATCAGTCAGTGCCTAAAACATTTTCTGTTCCATGTTGTATGGGATTCCTTTTGGGTTGGATGAGAGCATTCGTGGACGGCTGCGCAAAGCTGCGGGGGCCCCAAAGGAGGGGGGCAGGAACTCAGGCAGTTCTCCAAGCATTTCCAAGATCAAGGCATCTGGAGGCCCCACAGTTGAAACTGAACAGACTCTTGTCCCCACTGATGATTCATAATCCCCCAGGGAGTCCTGCGACCTCCCACCCCCAGCCTCAGCCCTGCAGCAGACCCTCACCCGGCCATTCATTTCCCCGGGTTACAGGGTTTTCCGGTGTCCATCCTATCCACTACTTCTTGAACCATTGTCTAAAGAGGGCCTTGAGTGCTCCACTATTAGATGAAAAATAATGTCAAAACGCAAAGGAGCGGTTCCTGCTGCAGTCCCGCAGGCTGCCTGTCTAGAGAACACACCAACACCAGCAGAGCCAACTTCCCGTCTTCCCCTTCCCCTTCTGTTAGTCACGTTCCTCTGACTGGGGCTCTGGGCTGACACGCTGCTAACACACGGAAAGAATGACACAGCCGCCTGTCAGTCCTGGTTTCTTTACTCAGAAACAGCTGCCCCCAAGGAACATTTACGTCCAGCCCGCAAGGCTGTGCTCAAACATTTCATTCCCTGCCCTAACCACACTATTTGTGATGTCCTAGCGAAGGCTTCCAAGTGCCTAAATGCCTTTGTCACCCTCTTTTTATTTCATTATCAAAGACTGTGACAATGGCAGGCTTCAAAACCCTTCCAAATGCACACCTGTACGCAGCAGGACACTCATGAGCCAACGCACAGTGCGTCTCCAGCCCTGAGGGCGAGGTCCAAGACCTGCGTCCCTTTCAACAGGAAGCATTTCATACAGCTGCTTCCCAATTTGCTAAAACTGTTGATTAGGAGAATGAGATTAAGACTTGACAACACCACCAGTTAACAGAAGTAGTCACCAGGATTCAGATCAACCTCCCACCTGCTCAGGACCACACAGAGCACACTCTGCAGCCAGCGGCGGCTGTGCCTTCCTCAGAGCCTTGTGTGGTCCCTTTATGTTCCAGCAAGCACTGCCCAGTTTTCTGTTGACACAGCGCTCTCTGATCAAACACCAGCTCAGTTTCTGTGTCCAAAGGTCTTTTTCAACAGGTGTGAACAGCTACTGATAGCCAGTTCCCCAAGATTCTCCCTCCGTGGATCTGTGGCCCGCTGGCCAGCTCCCCTCAGCCCATAACGGACAGCTGTCTTCCAAAAGAAAGAAGGGAAATGCACTGAAAACACTGTGTTCTTTGATCAAAGTATAAACTTGCGATCTTTTTCTAAAAAATGTATTTAGTACAGGGTCTCACTACACAGATCAGACTCAGTGAGTCTCCTGTTTTAACCCCCCAAGTGCTGGGATTACAGGCGCGCACCACCACACCCAGTCTCAATCACTGTTTCAGCATGGCCCGGGGGCGGGGCCCGCAGGGCACACCAGGGATCGAACCCGGTCCCTGCATCTGGGCAAGCACTTCAGTCCACCGAACTATCTGGCCAGCCCAAACTTGTGATTTTCACAGAACTGGAATGGCCAAATAAAACCTCTGAAATGAATTTGTATAGATTGCTCTTGGTGTCTCCCCAGAGCCCCCAGTCCTCCCACCTCCACTCCATAAGAAGACAACATATATACCTCAAAAGAGGGCACCATGGACATCTAAAAATGAAGTCCAAGCAGACAGGTAACCAGACCATCCGTGTCAGAGTGGGGAAGAAAAATTGCCCAGCACATGCAAACCATTAGCATCAATCTGTTCAATAAGGCTAACAACTGAAAATACAATGCAGGCAACCTAACGTAGGGAGAAAGCGCGCAATTCAAGTAAACGTTGCCCTTGTAAGTGAGAGCAACACACCTAATCCTATTATTAAAACTTGGATAAGTTGCTGTTTTAATCTGAGACTCACGAGTGTTAACTAAAGACTCTTCTATACTTATTCACTAGTTACATTTCTGCAACGTCAAGAACTCACACGTAAATTCTCCTTTGATTTGCCGTCGTCCCGTAGTACCATCCCTTTCTCTAAAAGTGAGGTTCACAGAGGCTCCGTTTTCTTTTGCCACAAGTGATTTCCTGGCTCTAATAAAAAAGACTGACTCAAGTGTTTTTAGGGGTGTAAAGACACTGATGGGAATGTGAAGGGAACACCACGTCAGGAAGCTGTGCAGGCATTCTTTTGTTCATTTCCTGACAGTATTTTTTTTTTTTTATTTTAGAGAATTAAAAAATAAGACAACAACATTAAAAATGACGGAATTTCAAAACAAGATGATAGGAAATCAACAATAGTTATTGTATTGTATCTTGTTATCTTCAAAGTAGTTGCTCAGATTATCAGATATAAGCATGTAACATTGGTCCAAAAATTAAGCATTAATAACAATAAACCAATAGAAATTAGTATAATTATCTTGGCTATCGTGTGTGTGTGTGTGTGTGTGTGTGTGTGTGTGTGTGTGTGTTTCCCTTCCTTGAGCCAGCAAGATAGCTCAGTGGACTAAGTGCCTGCTTTGGCAAGCTCAGGGACCAGGGTTTGATCCCCAGCCCCACATGCCGCACGAGTCCCGCAACCAGATGCACTGAGCCAGTGATGGAGTGGTGATGCACACCGTAATCCCAGTGCTGGGGAAGCTGAAGACAGGAGAATCACTGAGTCCAAGATGCGCAATGAGACCCTGTACCAAATACACAAATGAGGGCCAGGGGAGATGGCTCAGTAGGATAAGCGCTTCCGTGGCAAGCGCAAGGGCCTGAGTTCAATCCCCGGAAAAAAGATTTATTCCAAATACACAAATGAAAAATAATTTTCTTCCCCTTCTTTCTTTCTTTTCTCCTTTCGCTAGAAGTTTCTTTCCCTTTTACAACATCTATTATTCTACTTTTCAGATTTTATTTACCCTTTCCGTTTCTTACACTAGGGAGACAATACAATGTTAGTTAAGTCATTTTTAGCTTTCTTAAAAAGCTAAAAATAACCTTACCACATGTCCCAACATTTCAACTCCTAGATATTTAACCTTCTTAAGAGAAAAGGAATTTTAAGGTCTTATATGCAAGTATTTTTAGCAGCATCATTGATAATGGCTAAGTACTAGAAACAATTCAAATGTCTACCGACTAGTATAGGGACCAACAAACAGGGTCAATCCACACAATGGAACTCCTCAGTACCAACTTTAAAAAACAAAACAAAACACCAATATTGTGTTAAATTTTGTAATCACCCGGCTCCAAGGTAGAAACATCAAGTTCGTGAAAGGGCTGGTGGAGTGAGGCTGCTGGCCTGACGTGGCTGAGAAGCAGAGCACAGGGAGGAGGGCTGGAGAGCGACTTCCTCAAGGCAGCCCCGTGCGCCTCCCTGCCAGGCCCAACCGCTCACGGCACACCCAGTGGTGGGGATCCCAGATTGACCCACTAAGGCATAAGCACCCCTATGATTCCGTCACTCTGCCAACAGTCGGCTCACCCAGCAGGCCGACAATTACAATCCACTGACACCTAGGTTTACAGTATGAAGCCAAACACAAAACAATATATTTTGGAACTTCCATTTAGTCAGTTTTTAAAAAATATTTTATTTTTTTTTTATTTTAGGGAAGGGTCTACAGGGTATTCAGGGTCTCACTACTAGATCCATCTCATAGTGATCCATCTGTTTACAGCCTCCCAAGAGCTGGGATTACAGGCACGTGCCACCATGCCCAATCTCAAGTGCTGTCTCAGTGTGCC